TCCATCCAGGGGAGCTCCCAGACTTTCCGAGCTCAGGCCCTGGCTGGGCGGTGGGGTGGCTGGGGTGGCAGGAGGAGGTGGAGGTAGTATCGCAGGAGGGGGCGCAGCGGAGAAAGGAGGCAGGGTGAGATGTTCCCGCAGGGTCTGGGTCCTCCTTGGTTCGCTGGCTCTCGTCTTCCTCACCTCGCTCTTCTTCTCCGTCTCGCTCCGCGGGGGCGTGGGCTTCAACTACCTGGAGCCACCTGGGTGGGAGGAGTCGAGGCGGGTGAAGCTAGTGCCCAGCTACGTGGGCGCACACAGGCTGTCACCAGCTGACACCCCCCAGCAGAAGACATGTGCCTGCCCGCGCTGTGTCGGAGACCCCGGTGTTTCTGATTGGTTCGATGAGAACTACGACCCGGATATCTCACCGGTTTGGACCAGAGACAACGTCCAGCTGCCTTCTGATGTCTACTACTGGTGGGTGGTAAGTAACAATATCCAATATCAATATTATAACTCAACATTAAATACTATTTTTGTTAACATGGATTCATTTCTCTTCTTGGAATAAAACTCCCAAACTGAACATTTACAGGACATATTGCAGCATATTAGCATTGATGAACCGGCAGGCTGTTTCTCTCGATTTAATATCCCTACCTTCATTGATATTCATTAAAAACACACTATAACACTATATTATCAGTATTCTGTAAATCACATTTGTAGGACATTTTAGTATTTTTTTTTTTCACAGTGCCTGCAGCACCTTCACACACTTTGCAATGGGGGGGGGGGCAGTCACATGGGAGATATTAGTTTATTAGGACACCAACATAGGGGGAGTAATACATCATAATCACAGATCTCTCTCCATCCTCCTCATCCTTCCCTCGCCTGTGAGCCAACCAATCCCCTCTTACAAGTAGTACAAGTAGTACATGCTCCTCGTGTATCCCTGCCAGTCTTATGTCATAGTGGAACATCACATGGTTGGTCACTGGGCTTTTCTTAAACCACTTCTGAGTAATGTCTGAAAAACTGACATGAATATGTCTTCGGAAAGTGTGCAAGAGAGTGACAAGACTTAATTAAAACTCCTCCGTGTGTGTGTTCTGCTTTGTGGGTGTGTGTCTGTCGTGTGCGTGTGTCCACTTGAATCGCATGTTTCCACCGTTATCTCCAGCGTTGTATGGTGTCCTTCAGCATCTGGTCTAGAGTCCTATTTTGGTTCTGTAGCCTCAGTCCAGCTCTGAAATGGCTGAAAAGTGCAAACACAGGACAACAGCTGCCAAGTCATTAGGTCACACTGCAACAGAGAGGTGATGAACTGGGAGAGAGAAATAAATGAGAGGAAGAAAAGACATGGGGAGGGGGAGGTTGGATAGGGAAGGTACAGAGGTGCTCACATATAGAACAAAACAAAGAAGGAAGGAAATGGTGAGGGGTGCGAGGGATGAAACAGATTTGCAAATAAACCAGAGAAATAGAGAGAGGGGAAGGAGGACAGGAAAAGAGAAGGAATCTAGAATAATGAAACAAACTTGAGAACAAAGAGAAGAAAAGTGAAGGGCCACACGAGGAAGGATAAACATACCAGTCTCTGCAGACTTTGATTTGATCAGTGATGCTCTGTTTTCTTGTCAGGGATGCCTCTCTGTTATTCTTTATCAGACAGAACACAGTCTGGCACTTAACATGTCGCCTTTACTCTCCACAATTCCTGAAATCTTAACCCGATTTCAGACTTTCCTTTCTGTCCCTCCTAACAAATGCCAGCCATGAATGCATTATGTCACCCCAAAGTTTTTAGAGTTAGAATATCTTCAAAATTGCTAGAAACACCAGCAACTGTGAAATGTGAGAGAAAATGTGAGAGAAATATATAAAGGGCTGTTTTTAGGGAGACCATAAAGTCACTGTGACCTTTAGGGGTGGTTCCTGTCGACTTTGAAAGGTATAAATACATATATAAATATATAGGCTTATATTAGAGACTGGCCTTTATTTCTCATTTCCCTGTTCCCCAGATAACAAAAACTCAAAACTTGATAAATTCAGTATTACGTCCATATCCACAGCACCAATTCCATCTCTACAACAACTGCCATAAATAAAATTCAACACTTCCTTCAGATTTATCACAGTAAAAGTCTTGCAGCCTTTAGGTTGGCTTTTAATTTAAGAAGAAAAACACCAGGAAGTGTTGAGTTTTGTTTTACAGTAGCTTAATATCAATCAGGAGAGGAGAAACATTGTTTTTTTGTTTGTTTTGTTATTGCAGTCAGTCCACTACCGAAGATCAATAAAACCATTTTAGCTTAACTATAGTTAATGGATGGCTGGGTGGAAATGAAAAAAAAAATAGAGCGATAAAGGGTCAGAGACCTCAGGAGGAATAATGCACTGGCCTCTGTGTGTGATTCTCACCAATATTAGCTTTAGGGACGCTGTAATGTGATGGGAATTTAGAGCTCTTTCTGCTCTTTCTGTCAGGAATCAGAAGACAGAATAAGTGGGTTGTTTCCTGATAAAGAGTTTTTGAGGCAGACATCACTGATGCACGGTGAGAGGTAGCCGTGTAAGTACTCCCTGGTCAATTACTGCTTTTCTCTCTTCTGAGCGAAATTCTTCAGTCTGAAGTGGTTTAATATGTAGAGTCGATGTAACCAAACAAAATGGTGAAATAACCTCTCTGCTTTGTCTTTTTTTCTCCACCATTTTGCATCGCTTCACTTGCTGTTAATCCTGCATCCAATCAACCAATGTTAGGGAGTAAAATGAAAATGCCTTCCTTGTATGCATGATTGGAGTATAACCTCTTCAGTCAAACCTAACGTGTTATTGTGCGCTCCTGCCTCCAGAGAGGAAGGACTCGAGCGTTAAATGAAAGAAACATTTTAAAGAATTATTTGCCATGCAGGACTTTAAATGACGTTTTTAGTTTGGTGCAACATGTTCAGATTTAACATTATAAACACTCAACCAACAATCTTCACTGATTAAGGGATGTCTTACCCGTCACTTTGGTTCACTCGGAATAATCACTCTTGGTGATTTTCAATGAATAATTTTGCATATTTGCAATTTGGTTGATACTGAGGGCTAAAACTAAAATAAAAATGCTTAAATTGAGTCTTGGTACATTGGCTACCAAAAAGGAGTTCAGCCAATTAGTTTGTGCATAAAGTCCATGATAATCTGTGTTATTCACGTCACCTATGACACGTATGGCTGATCGGTGTACCTGGCAGTTAATGGGTGGTAATATTTAAACACAACTAATCTCTATTAGGGCTGCACAATTAATCGAAATATTATAGAATATGGGCAAATGCAATATTGAACTTGCAGAAGCTGCTCTATTTTGATAAAGGTAAAATGTGTATCAGAACAGCATTATAATGATGTACAATAGTGCTGCAGACAGAAAACATGTTATTTTGGTACTATAGACCTCAACAAATGTAATTCATCATCATGATTTTAGTGAAAATGATACGTACTAATCGTGAATCATATTATAATCGCAATATCTGTCAAAATAATCGCGATATGCATAGTGATCTCCACTTAGTTAACATTGAGTTTGAACTTACTCACATATGGTGCAGTGGATCCTGGAAGTAGCAACGTTCTGCCAATGTCAATTATTAGTTTAAGCAAAAAAAGGTAAGTTGTGCTTACTTAAAAGTAGGTATCAGGGAGCTTATACTTTAGGAGTCAGAGGACAGCTGAGAGGTAGGAAGAAAGATGGCAGGGCTGCCAAAAAACATCTGCCAAAAATTAGTAGCCCCTGAACAACAGCAGTGCAGCTTGCCAAGCTGGCTCTGGCATCATGCAGGGAGTCAGAGACAGAAGAAGGCAAAGGATGGAGGGATCAGGGAGGATGAAAAACATAGAGGGAAGGAAAAAAAGACAAATGCAGAGAGGTAACAGCATGAGAAACAAAGTCAGAGAGAGTAAAAGAAAGATTTAGTGGTCTCTGATCAGCACCGATGAGCTGCGTGGTGCACAGGCGTCCCAGAGAGAGGAAGAGATGAAGAAAGACAAGGAGGAGGAGGAGGAGAAACAAAGAGGAAGCAAGGGAAATTAAAGAGAAGGAATTAGACATGATGACAAGGAGACTGCTCGAGAGGATGTGTGAATGAAATTGTAAGTGAATGAGATCTGTGTTGGGAAAAACGAATTAAGGCCGATGGTGGGTGAAGAGGAAGTGGTGACAAAGGAGTGCAAAAATGAAGATTGCAGTGTGGGAGAGAGGGAGAAGGAGAAAGGAAAAGATGTTCATGAAGAGGAACAGGCATGAAGAGGCTGCCAAATTCCTCATCGAACTCGTGTGTGTGTGTGCATTTTTGTTTTGGGGGATTTTTTTGTGTGTGTGCAGGTGGCTCACTTGCTCTTTATACGCATGAATGCACATTTGCCTGTGTGGTTTGGCAGATACTAAAAGATTTTTAGCTTTTTTTTCTCTTTTTAATCGGACAACTTCTCTTTGTCAGCTTCTGCTAGTATGTGTCATCACTCTCTTTATGTCCCACAAGGAAGCTGTTCAAAACCACGATCCAAAAAGCTAAAAAAAAAAAAAACACTTCACGTTCTAATGAACAGACAAAGGAGAAATATGGTTTTAATCTTGAATGTGGACAAGTGGGTTCACAATAATTCGTGATTCTAAGACCTGACTCTGTCAGTCTAAAGTGTCTGGTGTCTGCCGAGAGAGCTGAGGTTAAAGGATAGTTCCACTATGTACATACTGAAAGAGGTTTTACTGTAATCATTCCTCTTGTTCATGCTGGCCTAACAGATCCCTTCCTATGCTCTTCCAATGTAGGTGATAAACACAAAGATCTTATTTTGTTCAAAAATATTTCAAGGTTTATCTGAAACTAATATGAGACTTCAATTTGAGTATGAGTCTGTGTTAATCAAAATAAATGTGTTTTTTCCAAAATTAGTCTTTTTGGTATATAAGAGTCTCTAGTATTTGAAATCCATCTTTATTATTTTAATAACGAGGGTTGGAAAAGTTAAATATAACCCTCCAACCCAGTAAAACAAGTCAGAAGCAAGAGGCTGTACTTAGGCACAGCTGTACTTTGAGCTAAATGTAAGCATGCTAACATGATCACAATGACAATGCTAATAAAAATCAGGTACAATGTTTGCCTTGTTCATAATCTTAGTTTAGTGTGTTAACAATTTTGTTAAATACTAGTAAACACAATGTACAGCTGAGGCTGATGGGAATGTCATTAGTTCAGCATTTGGTCATAAAGGTATTGCACAAGTTAAAAAAAAAGGTAGTCAGCTGTAACATTTAGGAGGATCTATTGGCAGAAATGGAATATAATATTAGGCATGTATGTTTTCATTACTGTATAATCAGCTGAAAATAGAAATCGTGTTTTGTGTTACCTTTGAATGAACCTAGAACATATAAGCCAAACAATGCCTTGAGGTACCCCCTCTAGATAGATCCTTTAGCATTTTTTTCACAGGTTTTTACAGCCTACACAGTTGGAAGGGGAGGGTGAGGCGAGGGGTATCCAGTTGGTTGCACACTGGACCTTTAAAAGCCATCTGAGTTTACTCAACAATATTAGTTTGTTGTGATTTACTTGCATATTTTAGGTGATAGAAGCTGTACGAGCTGTAACACTTTTTGCCTGCTTTTGCTTTTTGATCTGTAGGAGGCGACCGCAACATGTTACATATGCTGTTACTTTCCTTTCCTGTAGGTGGTGCCACCTAATAAATGTCAATGAATTACTGCCACTTTTATGTGGTGCTTTACATCTAAAAGTTAGGCGTGCCAGGTTTCCAACACTGTTGCAACATTGACCAGTAATAGCTCCATATTGCAATTATCAGGTCTGCATTTCTCGAATATTCTCATTAAGATATCGCCTCAAAAATGAAATTCCCCTTTAAAAATAAAACATATTTTATTGTCAAATAATGATAATAATAAATCAAGACTTGTTTGTTTCAAATTAAGTTTATTATTTTGTGTTTATTACCGGTAATTTAGTTTTGGCTTACCACTTACAAAGCTTTAGTTTGCTAAAGCACCATAGTCTCCATTTGGACCGGAGTTTATTTATTGCTTTTTACAGAAGTCTTTAATTAAGCGACCTGGCTAATTAACATTTTAATGGATCCTATTCGAGCTGAAGCACTTTTATGGCATTGCATGTTTTCCAACAAGAAATTCAACAGCACACTGAGGCTGTTTTCAAGGTAGCTGAAGAGGAAATCCTGAATAAAAGTTTCCTTGCAAAGGAAACTGATTCTTCACATTCACGGTGCTGCTTTGACAGTCGGGTACTTAAAGGGAGAAATCATCTGCAGTATTATCTTCCTCCCGGCTTTCCTTCAACTCCATTTACATCTTCTGTTCTTTCAACTGCCCTGCTTATTTTCTGCTACCTTGCATTCAACACATAAGTTTTTGTTTTTTTTACCCACTCTCATTTATTCTGGTCATTTCTGACTCAGCCAGACAGGAGAGGCTTGTCGTCATCTCTGCTGTCACTTTTGTTTATCCCTCCGAGTCGAACTGTAGGTCCTCTGGACATCTCCCTGTTGTTGGTGACGGACAGTGCAAAAGAAAAGGTGCCTGGAAAGACACTTTAGCACGCAATATGTTTCTTGGTGTAATAACCAGTTTTTGTGCAACAACCGGATATGGATAAGTTGTCTGTAAAAAGCATAAACTTTAGTTGGAGTGAGAAGTTTACAAGTTTACTTCTTGTTGCTCTTTCCATCCCTTCTTCCACTGCCATCTGTTTTTTATTCAGCTTGTTTTTGACATGTGGACAGCGATGTCTCTGCTCCCCTGACCACAGCCTGCCCAGTAGTCTGACTGCATCCTGTCAGTCTGACACATGGCTGTTACCTAAACACACACAGACATACACACACAGGCGCAAGCACCTGCTTATTTGCACATGAATGCTGGCAAGTGCATGCATACGCACGTACATGGGTGCACAGAAAGTAACTAAATATAAAGTCTGTCACATTCGATTTGTCTGCAGAGGAGAGACTATGCATTCTAACCATACTTTCTCTTTCTCTCTTTCTCTTTCTCTCTAGATGTTACAGCCCCAGTTTAAACCCCACAGCATCCAGCAGGTGCTGCTGAGGTTGTTCCAGGTATTTTATATTATTAATTCATCTTTCCATTACCCTGGTACTTTCAAATCAGCCAAGTCATTACTTCACACTCTTGGACAAAGGCTGAGGGGAGCAGATTGTCTTTATTAGACATTAGGTCTATCAGTGACCCAGCTCATTTCTTTTTAATGTATCTGTATATATCTTGTTTTCTAACTCAATGCAGCGCAGTGCATTCAGATAAGGCTGAATGTATAAATATCTCAGAAGGGGGCTCGTGTATTTTTTCTGGATGCTCTCATGAAGAATTCACTCCAGTATTGAGAGCAGGATGTATTTTTACGATCAGGTCTGAGCTGCAGGTTAGGTTGTTTGATGTTTTTTTTATGTCTGGAGCTAGTGTCCAGTTTAATTTTGCATGTAGTTTGAATCCAGTTAGCTTAATTCGATCGTGGCCATCTGTCACAGGTGATTCCGGGAAGGTCGCCGTATGGCTCGTGGGATCCGGGACGCTGCATGCGCTGCGCCGTGGTGGGGAACTCAGGGAACCTTCGTGGGGCCGGATATGGGGCAACCATCGACGGACACAACTACATCATGAGGTGAGAGGGATGGATGAGACCAGAGACTGGATGCAGATTGCCTCTAAGATATGGAGATACAGGCCAAGATGATGACTGAAACAGAGAGAGGAGGAGGAGGAGTAGGAGGAGGAGGGAGACAGCTGGAGAGAATAAGAGGGAAGAGAGAGTTAATGCCAGGAGAGCTCTATAACATAGTATGTGCCATTAAAGTTACATCATGCAAGATTATGTGTGTGCAAAAGGGCGAAGTACTTATAAAGAAGCGGACAGCAGATGTGTGGCCGAATCTATATTTAATCTCAGTGTTTAATGCTGTCCTCTCCGATTGGTTGGCAGAGAAAGTCACCTGCCTGGTGTGAGGTCACCACAGAGTGCTTAATGTCCTAAGAAGCTGAAATGAATAAATTGTGTCTCTCACATACACACTCATGCAGGGAGGCACACAAATCCTTTTGTTCTCGAGCGAGTTGTCGTTTTCGTGCAGCAGTAATGAATCACAGAGCCTGATTGTTGTCAGTTGGCATGAACACACAGCTATATGTTGTTTCCTGCAGCGTGTGTGTGCATGTGCATGTGCATGTGTGTGCGCTGTGACCACGTGCTTGTGGCATGAAAGCCTCTGCTGGAATGACTAGTATTTTGTGTGTCGGTGTGCTAAAGCCATTAGCATCCATTAGCGTTGCTCTCTCAGTAGACCTGTGTGGGCAGCCTCCAACTTCCATCTTCTCCTGTGCTTCTCTCATTGCTGTGGTTAGATTCTCATTTTTTAAAAATGTTTTAAAAATCGGCATGGACTGCAACAGTCTCGCTCACCACCACCACCACCCACCTCCTGTCTGTCTGCCTTTTCACTCCCCTAGTGTCTGAAAAAACATCTGTTTCACTGACATATGGGTAGCTGCACTCACTGGCCAATTTTTATCCTTTTTTTTCAGGTGCCTCTTCCTGTTTACATAAACAGCTCACTCCTCCAGACAGTTAGTCACATCTACTGTAAATACAGCAAAAGTCTGAAGGGCGCAGACATAGCTGGTTCAGTTACTGTCTGACTGAAGCTTACACTGGACAAAATCTACTTATTATATCAGTGTTTCTAAAACCTTCTACCACCTCAAAAAATCTGTTGCTCCAAGCAGGGGTGTGTCCAGACTTTTCTGACTGGATCATTCCCAATTATTGCAATTTGAATCTTATTTATGGTCCTAATATTAAATAAATATTCAAAATTCTCTTCCGAGCATGCTAGCACAGCATGGTACCAATAGATGAGTTAGGTCATCTAGTTGCATATAATACCAGTATTTTCACCATGTCTTATGTTGTTCCTCTCCTACTTCTAGGATAAACCTGGCCCCCACGGTGGGCTACGAAGAAGACGTCGGCAGCCACACCACTCACCACTTCATGTATCCGGAAAGCGCCAAGAACCTGGCGGCCAACGTCAGCTTTGTCCTGGTTCCCTTCAAAACGTTGGATCTCGTCTGGATCACCAGCGCTCTGTCCACTGGCCAAATTCGATTGTAAGAAGACACACACCCAAATCCTGGTGTTACTATATTTGTAGGGACCCATCATTGAAAATGCATTCCTTAGCCCCTTACCCTAACCTTGACCAGCGGAACTAAGTGCCTAATTCTAACCCTAAAGCCTGATTTATACTTCTGTGTCGAATGGACGCTGTAGGTGGGAAGAAAATAAACGAAATTAGAAAAGCACAAAGCAGATTCAGAGTTTTAGCAACCAACTATCGCTTTGGAGCAACGCAGACACAGATTGAATGCTGCAAACGTGTAGGTCACTTGCAGAGCTACTGTGCAGGTATACTCGAGGTATAGCCAACATACAACTATGAATCAGATGTAACAGTCAGGCCCCCACAAGTGTAGTAAAACACGCTCACACACACATACAGATATGCATAAGCACGGATTGACACACATGTGAGTGCAAACAAATATAAAACTAATTCTGGACATATAGTGCACACTAAATGGTATCCGATGTTTGACTTTTTACAGACAATTAGTATATATAGTTATATATATACTATATTTACATTAGCATGTTATAGTTAGGAAATAAATACATTTCATTTTACACACACACACACACACACACACAGTAGAGTTGTGAGAAGCCAGGGAGTCGCTTGGCTCCTGCAATCTGTCAGCTGTCAATCATCCAGAATTCAGAGTCGCATGCAATCACATAAAGTGATGACTGAATGTGTTTAATCAATTTCTCCCTCTCTCCTTCTCTCCCAGTACGTACGCTCCAGTGAAGCAGTTCCTCCGCGTAGATAAAGACAAGGTGTGTAGTTTTATCATTCACTGCAATTACTTTTGGCCGTTTTCACACTCACAGTAATTTACAGACACGTACACATCTGCAGCCACACACTGAGTGACCCCGCTTTGCTGCAATTATATCATCCCCTACGCATTGTTGATGAAGGATTACAGTTAGATTATGAACCTTTCCTTTGTTATAAATAATCTTCTGCTCACTCTTTAATCCCTGAAAATAAATAAACTCAAACTAATCCCCGCTATTTGACGGACTTTGTGTGATCTTCGCCTGGTCAGAGACTCACTTTTTACAGTGTCTTTGGAGCCGGCCCAGAAATATAGATTTATAAGATTTACTCCACCTATGCGGAGCTCTAAGCAGCCTAAAGCCCTGTTTGTTGGGACCGAACATCACCTGAAGGTAGATGATAAATGTGTAATTACTATTCATTTGATTAACAGTGCTTTTAATCTCTCACAGCAATCACAACCTCAGGACGTGTTCAAATTTAACTTGGCGAAATCTTTTCTTGCTTGGTTTGACCTTTTAAAAATGCAGTGGCTATGATTTGCATGAGGTTATCTTTCCTGTGTTACCGTATAAATCACCTGAGTGAAAGTTTTTAATCTGACTTCAAAGGAAATTGATTGAATTCAACATTTCTGCATTATAATGTCCATAAACACTGGACCTATATTATATAATATATTGAGTTGTGTACTTATATTATTTCAAATCTTCCAACAATGTTCAAACTCAGAAATCTGTAATTTTATTCAGGTAACATTTCACCGGTCGCCTATCAACAGGGACATAGCCCTTTTGTTCCTGTGTCAGCATCGTGGTTGTCTGCCAGAAGTCATAAATGGACTTTTGATCCAGTTTAAAGCCACATTTGTATGATTGATGACTTTTTAGAGGGTGTTTTTTAACTTTATATTTTAACCAAATGAAGATGAATAACCTGATGATTTTTTTAGTCAATGGATCTAAAGTTATTAGAGAAACAACCTGAGCTAATGGTAGCAGCAGCTCAGCTGGCAGGCCATCCAAGACGTCCTTTGACTGCCAAATTGCATCACAGAAATACAGATTTTCAAGGGGAAACTTCTTTATTCCGTGTCTTTAACGGTTTTAGTCACTGGGTCTGTCTGTTTTGGAGAAGAGGAAACCTCTGCGGATAAATCCACGCAGGAGTTTGGGTTTGATTATCTCTTTGTTTAATTTAAAGACAGTATATTACTGTATTTTCTCTGTGTCCCTGTCCACCACCCAGGTCCAGATCTTCAATCCGGCATTCTTTAAATACATCCACGATCACTGGACCAGACATCATGGCCGCTACCCCTCCACTGGCATGCTAGTGCTTTTCTTTGCTCTGCATGTCTGCGATGAGGTCAGTTTCTCTCTGCTTTCACATAACCACGCACTGTAAATCCTTGCATCACGCTGAAACTACACTTACATCATATTCATGATGAAAAGATACACATTTCTTACACACGCTTGCTTTCCAACACCCGCTCTTCGCCTCTACTCTAGGTGAACGTGTTTGGTTTTGGGGCGGACAGCCGGGGGAACTGGCACCACTACTGGGAGCAAAACCGCTACTCCGGAGAGTTCAGGAAGACCGGCGTCCACGATGCCGACTACGAAGCTCAGATCATCCAACGGCTGGCCAAGGCTGGCAAAATCACTGTATTCCCTGGGAAATAACTAGGAAATAACCAGCAAATCACCCCAAGTAGCAAATGTTCCAACGCTGGTACGGCAACAGACACTTTAGAGGCTGCTTACAATGTGTTAGATATTCTCGCTACCTGCACCAGTTTGGGTTCCCAGTTAAAGTAAACCAAATGCTTACAGAAGTTGAGACGAAATGGTCACGAAATAGTACCAAATAATGTTATTCCATTCACTTACCCTCATATTTGGGAGGTTGCCCACCAGTCGAGGCTCTGATTGGAGAACATGGTGTTGACTCCAGGAACAGGGGCCAGCCAGATCCAAACGTAGTTCTTACTTTTATCACCTAAGAGTGGGAGTTGAGCCTTAAATTTGTCATTGAAGCAATTGGTTCTGCCAGCGCGAGGCTTGAAAGACAAGACCACATATCTCTTTCCAAGGGCAGCTTCAAAAAAAGCAAATGAGGGCTGGACCGCAGCAAAACTCAAGTCAGTCACCACAAACATCGACTTTGACTGTGTACCACACAGACAAAGCTGGGTCCCACCTTGGATGAGTGTCTGATCCTCATCCATTTACAGAAATACAGTATAGTACATACTGAAAAGGCCACAGAAAAGGCAACATCAGCATCTAGGAGACTGTTCCCAGCCACGAGGTGTCTGACAGTAACAAAGCGTGAACAAATACCAGGCACCGCTCTGTAGGCCTGCAGACAAGATTAACAGCACGGACACAGACTGTGGAGCTTTCAGACGCCATTGTGCTGTTAAACATTTTGAGACTAAAGGACTAATTTTCCATCTCTTACAAAACCCTGGACCATGACTCCCTTGAGAAAGAACTGCTCCTATACGAGACCAAACCTCACTTGCCACTTCTCACTGTCATAACACTTTATGTGAGTTCTGCCTCACAAGACAGTGTTACAAGTACCATGTCTGACTGTGATGAGTCATAAAATGATGTGTTATAAGACGATACGTGATTGCTGTGAGTTTAAATCATATGGCTTTCCTCTAAATCCCCCCCCCCCCCGGTCTTTGCAGGGCTTAGCAAGGCCTTCGACACCTTGCTGCAGACTCACAGAAACATGATCAGGACTTTTGCCTTTTGGCCATTCTGACTCAGATAGATCACTGCTGCACTAGCATGAGCTTCAGCTTCTGCAGAGACAGCTAGCATGGTTTGAAACACCACAGCGACCGCAGGCCCTGCTACAGTCTGTATTCACATCCACACACAGAGGGAGAGTTCTGGGAGAGAGTTTGATTTGACTGCATGAGACTCTAATGAGGCCAAAAGTCCATCTCCTGGGATTTCATGTTTGGATGGAGGCACGCTGGTTTCTGGACTGGAGTTTAATCCCCATGTGGTCTGTCAAGGTCTATTTTGGGAGGGGGAGCACTGGAGACAGAGAGCTGGAGCATGAAGAACCAGTCTGACAAAGCCAGCATGAGAAACACATCATTTACCCCAGTGTTTGGATGAAAAGAGAAGACATTGTTGTTGATGTGCACAAACTGTACTGGGTTCACCACTTTGGTTTTGAGAGGACTGAGACAAGAAAGGAAGCTCACTCTGCTTCTTTTCCCACAGACCTAAAACTCCAACCTGACTCCTCCTATCCCAGTGGAGTTAGAGACTGTCAGGAGGATTTCGCCCCAGATTAAGGCCCATATGATGGGGGGTGAAAAAAAACCCCACTGGATTTGGGACTGCTTTAACCTGTCAGCAGCTCGGCTTCATTAACCACTAGCCCTGGTCTCTGCTCAGCCAATTCAGACTTCAGCTACGTCTGGAGGGTGTGGAGCCACCGGACGCCTTAGACTTTACCTCCGTAAACTGTTCTGATTTTCATGATGATGGCATATCCCCCTGCAGACTGCAGATTTCATTTGTTAGTTTTATGTACTGTTTAGCTTTGAGTTTACACTTTGGCTGGATTTATGCTATTGGCTCAGATTAGATTTACTTTTGCACACAGGTGCCACATTTAAAGATTTTTATCATGATTTGGTATCAAATAATACCCATTTACACATTAATAGCTTCCGAACAAATATCAGTCATGGAAGGTGCTGCTAGACTGTAACAAAAGACAAAAACAAAAGCGGAAAAAAAGAAAATGTGTGCCACAGAGAGGAAGGAAAATACAAGTATTTGGTTAGAGCTGAGACTGTAAATCCATCCAAAGATGTGCTTATCAAGAAGCAGACAAGACAAGGAAGAGTACTCAAGGTTCCTATGCAGGTCTGGAAAAAATGGAGAAGTGATGACTGAATAAGTCTTTCAAGGTGTGATAATTAATATTTTTACTATCCCGTCACAACAAACTAACGTATGTATGCATGGGTTTGGATGATTGTTGATCAGTATTGACTCCATTTAGGAACAAATTAGTATTTATGTCAGTTACAGGTTACTTTAAGTTATAGAAGTCAAAATACAAGTTATAGATTATTTACTCAGTCCCTACAGGATTTTGCCAGCTTTTTTGGGAATAGTTGCATCCTAAAATGCTTGATTTCACTGCAGATTTTCTAAAATGATTGCAATGTTTTCAGGAGAGAGCGAAAATGTGAAAAAATTAAAAAATTAAAACTCAAATGCTTGTTCCAGTGAGGTGGAATTTGCGTTAATTTTTGCAGTTTGCAACTTCCTGAAGGGACTGCTTAATGCCACTGAACTATAATTAAACAATTTCTTAATAATATTGAATATTCATGACTAATTAAGCAACACTCAAAGTTAAAGGTACCCTGTGGAGTTTTTGACCACTAGTAGTGCTGTGGAGCAATGTTTTTCATGTGTGGTCCCATGATTCCACTGATCTAGAGGTGGCGGTAATGTGCCAAAAAATGCAGCAATGTGCCAAGAGAGGCAGGGAAGAAGAAGACGTAAACAATGCAGGATTTAAAATGTTTTTAAAAAGTCAGCATTGCAAATTTTCTTAGGAAGGAAATGCATTCAACACATTTGTTAGATCTCAAGGACACTGAATGTGAACATAAACTCCACAGGGCACAATTATTTAAGAGTTTTCATCAGGACTGTGTGGGTGTGGTTTGATCAGATTTAATTGACTGAGGCCACCAAACACCTCACCAACTATCAGATTTTCATTCAAATATTGCAAAAGTTTGTGAGTTTTTTCCAACTGAGCCACATCCACTTCGTACCTGTACGAAAAGCACAGGGAAGAAAATGCAGAAATCTCTTAATTGTAATAACATAAACTGTCAGAAAAATGTCTTTTCATGTCGGATCCTGTGATGCACAATGAGGAGCAGATTCAAAAACATGTTTCCAGGGCTTTTAATGCTCCTTTAAACTATGAGAAAACTTTACTAGTTGCAGCTAAGAGTTCACCAGAACTTTTTTTTTCCTTAGAAGCAGTTGGTGTATTGTTTTAATGACTCATAATGTGCTATACGGTGAGCTAAAAAAACAAGTGAAGAAAGATACATTTGTGAATAGAAGCCGTGTAGGAACCGTGAGTGCCAGCCGCTGCAGCAGATGGTACTTTTATATGAAATAACACCTGTGTATGTGTGAGAACCTCAGAGTCTGCTGTTAAGGGACTTAACCACATGATATTATGAAGCTCACACCTGTGTTTTATTTTTTACATGTACTTGTTGAGAAAAGGTCTGAGGGTACACAAAATGAGGAGGGGTTGGGTTGTGGAACCGCCCCCAGCAGGCGATGTGAAGAACTGTGCCTCCTATGCTGATAATCATTTCTGTTGGTGTATTATTGTATTATCTTTTGGATGATATTGTGTAACCACACGTGACTCTTGTGTATTGCCATTGTACTTGTATCTGCTTTCAAAGTTTTTATTTTACTTTGCACATTTAGCATTTTACAGGATGCCGTAGAGTCGAGCTGGGCTCATTTTAAGGGTCAGTGCGGCTGAATCTGGACATATTGTTTTTGTTTTCTCTCTCTCACGCACGCACACATTCATGCTTTCGTGCCTTGTCCTGCTGCTGGACGTCTCTCGCCTACAGCTGCTCCATCGCCAACACACACCTGCTACCTTTGCCGAGTTTTTTTTTTTGCCACACACACACACAAACACACACGCGCGTCTTCTGGCTGAGAGCTGTGCCTTCTGAGCTGTATACACACACCCACACACACTTCATGAAAACACACACTGCCTTCTGCTCGGGGTACAGACGCCTCCCGCTCTTCACTTCTTACTGCTTTGTACACTGACATCTAAAGATCGCCGTAGGCTAAAGGAGAGGATGTAAACTGATGCAGTGTGACTCGCTGTGAATTCATATTAGGCAGTTTGTGATTTTTTTTTGGAACATATAGTGTGTGCTTCTCTAGATAACATATAGTGAGGAAAGATGGCAGACAAAGGGGTCATCTGCTGGATTCAAGCCCACAAAGTTATCTTTCTGTATTGGATTTGAGCTACAAATAACAGACGGTGAGGATGATAAAGCGCCTAAAGGTTTAGACATACCGGTGTGCACTGCTGCTGTCATGATTCAGTGTTTTCTCGGCTACCGTGGTCCTGTGTTATTGATGTTTGTTTCTCAAGAAGCTCCTTCCAGCTTCAAAATGAATGTGTAAATTGTTTTTGGAGATAACACGGCTTTCATCAGAACATCTCTGGGCTCCCCAGCAGGAAGATAACACATTCCTACCACAGTCCTGCAGCCTGCAGTGGATTAGAAGAAAAGTCTTAATAGTTGGCTGTGCATCCACCCCCCCCTCCCAAACATGGGAGACCCTGTTCCAGCATGGAAACTGTTATCAGCTTCCTCAATTTCTCTCAGTTGTAGAGCAGAACATTGTGATCAGATAGAGTGGGGGAGCAGGGTGATTCCTCTCTGTTGTGTGTGAGCCTAAATTAGAGTGGAGGTTTTCTTTTTCCAGCTACAGTGCATGACACAGATCTGAGATTGGTCCCTGTTGCATTTCTAACCTAAAGTAGGTCTTTTCTCCTGTCGCTGACCCAATACACCCGATTCTTCCTCTGGAGTCAATTCTTAAAATAACTTGAAGAAGCACCCGTTTTCAGGTCAGCGTCTGAAGAAATAAAGAGCTGCGTTGGGTGAGAGCAGTTTGGGGTAACGTGGTCCTCGATTGTGGTCGGTCAGGTGTCCAGGAAGCAGCGTGTTTTCTCAGGTGAAATCCGAATGTGTGGTTCAGTTCACTGATGACAGAAACAAGTCAGATGAAGCTGACTCAAGCAGCGAGTCTCTGTCACAACTTAAACTGGACTGTTTTCTTTTTTTTTTTTAATTCTAGGCCAGACTTCCCGAATCATCCCCCCACTAAAATCATCTTTGTTCTACTTCTCTGTCAGTGGAATCCAGGTTCCTCTCTCATCCAGGCCTATTCTTACACCGTTTTTGTCTCACACATTATGTGCTGAGCCACATGTCATTAAAGCCACAAACACCCAATTACTGATTGCCCT